TACTGGCATCTGCAGTGTCTTCAGCTTCTTCGTCGCGATCGACGCCCGTGCACGTGATGATCATGGGTGCCTCCGCGCTTCGCTTCACTTCAATCTTCTGGTAATTAATCCCACTGACCTTGACCTGCGGGTCCACGGGAAGTCGCAGAAGCCGCCATTCCTGTTCATCGTTAGCCGGTGTCTGGTCTCCTGCTTTCCTTTCATCAGTTGATGAACCAAGCGACGACTTCTTGATCGACGCTTCCAGAATTCGACGGACATCATCGACAGGAATACGCGGCGGGATCTTCCACATTAAGTCCACTAGCTCCTGCCCTCGTAGCAGTTGTTCTGCAATGTCATCACTGGCAAACTTTCGGGACTCCACTAGACTCCCATTCGACGACTTGTCCTTGAACTGCGCCAGAGTCAGCAGTAGCCGCTGCTTCATGCCGTCGAACTTACGTCGACAACTCGGGTCCTCCGCCATGACTGTAAGTCCCCAATACAAATCGTAGCAGAAGCGAATGTCACACTGAGCTTGACGAAGCAGTGATTGGCCTAGTTTGCTTCCCGCGGCGTTTGTTTCAACGCTGAGACTGTGTAGCAGCACCTGTAGATAGCTCCACCACTCGTTCTCTGTCGCAGTCTTGAGCAGAGCATCCACCGCCATCGCACGCAGTCGATGGTTGTGAATAGTTTCGTCCGCTAAGATCTCCAGAGCGTCGACACTGCCAATTTGAGGCTTACAGAGACGCGAGCACATCGTCAGCATGCATTTATGCTTGCGTTCCTGCTGCAGTAACTCCAGCACTTCATCTATCAGCTTCGAGTTCCGTTCATGTCTTCTTCGAGCCGATGCAGGACCTTCAACTTCACTCTCTGTCATATTAGTGACGAGATGCTCCAGTTCATTCTCCTCCGAGAAATCTACTGCTTTAACAAGCTGCAAGAGCCACTTGGTATGTCCACCAAGGAACTTCCGATTGATAATCAGCATCTTCTTCTCTCTCTCCGACAAGCGATGTGTGGGCAGATAATACTGGATCTGGCGGAACATGGAAAGACACATGATCGTCGCGCGATGCCACTTTCGACACACTTGCCCCAGCGTTCGCAGCTCTTGAAGGTTAAACTCGCACAGCTCAAACACCTTGACTGTGTTGTAGTGGTGTCTTCGCTGTTGTAGTGCACACGCACAGTCGTCACAAACACGCTGCATGACGCTGCCATCGGGGACATGCATAGATCTGTGTGAGCTTGAAGCTGTAGTTCCAGTACTTGAAGCGCTTCCCGATCTCGATCTATTGGGCGTAAACTTGCTGATCACGCTGTTTTCCTGCAGCCTCTGTACGTCCTTCAGGAACTTTTCCTGTTGTTCCTCTGGTGTCAACGTTCCAGAGTCCACAAACGACTGCGAGTGTCGAATCGACATGCTGCCATTCATATCCACTCCTGAAGCCGCGTTGGGACTCGAGTAGGACGTCAAGTACCAGCTAATGTTGCCAATCAGATCACTAGCATTCGTTGTCAATGAGTTGTATGCTGGAGCCACAGGTGTCGCCTCGTAGTCTCCTGGAATCACCACACGTTGGCTCGAACACGCCGAGCAGAAGATGCGTCCGCATGCACGACAATGATGTTTGCGGATCAGCAGCGAGAAGACCGTGTGGCACTTGAAACAGGCAAAGACCGCGTCGTCCTGTACCCATGAGGAGAGCCTTCTTGGCTGTACAAATCTGTACATGTCCTGTCCGAGCTGTCCGTCGTCCCCATTGGTCCAGTCTTCGTCGTCCATGCTGCTGCCCATGTGGATAGAGACGCCAGCTCGTACCTCCTCCTCACTCTCTTCCAGTATATCTTCACTACCTTCGTAGACCGAGTCGAGCATGCCATTGCCATATGCCGGAGGCGCGTTGTCCTCATTTTCGAGGAATGTTGATGGAGTACCCGGAGGTGGAGGCGGGAACCGTCGAACTTGCTGGTTTGCAGGTCGCTGGAGCTGCCCGTTGGCCACTGGAGGCTTGCGACGCCGCCGCTGCTGCTGGTGCAACGTGCTGCGCGCTTCCAGGATCTGCGAGAACGACAGATCGACGGCAGCAGCATCGCGGGAGGTATCGTTGCTATACATGACGCGATTTTGAAGCTTGCAGTAGGTGTTGAGTGGTGCAAACAAGGTGTAGCTGAGGAGAAAACAGCGGCGCAGTAGATAAGACGAGAAGCAAGCGTTATGCGCAGGGCGTTGTGGCTAATTCGGTCGCGTGACGCACTCGGGGTGCGGACTTGACCTTGTCCTTGGTTGACCTTGAGCTTTTCTCTCGTTTGGACCTGGCAAAACGGATAATCCGGTTGAAGAGGGTCTCATTTATTTCAGCGAATCGGAATCCGCGCCGTGAAAACAGACGTCTATGGTCGGAAGAAATCCATTGGCCGAAAACTGATTTGGCTTCATCGGAGATCATCCAAGATGTTTGGATTGGCTGCCACCGAAGCGGCGCGACCATCACTCTGGAAAGAAGGATCTTTTCGGCCAATACAAACACTTCAACATGGAGGGATCCGAATTTCATTGGCTGAAAGTGGATTTCCGATAGATCGAGAGGCCTAAAAGCTGATCGGAGGGGGAGGAATCCATGGTCACTTTCGAAAGAAGCCCGAGGTCCGCACACAAGACACGCACTCTGACCCCCAGGTTTTTAGTTAGAACACGTAAAGCACAAACATGGACAAGCTGATGGAGTACAAGGAGAAGATCTCGGCCAAGCTGGAGCGATACGACAAGATCGTGGAGCTGGAGAAGCAGACGGGCGTGGACAAGTTCTACATCTTCTGCGTGGGCGCTCTGCTGGCGGGCATCCTGCTGTTCGTGGTGGGCGGCGAGGAGCTGGTGGTGGGCCTGGTGGGCTTCATCTACCCGGCTTACATGTCGTTCAAGGCCATTAACACGCCCGGCACCACTGACGACACCCAGTGGCTCACCTACTGGGTCGTCTACTCCTTCTTCAACCTCACTGAGTCCGTAACGGACCTCGTTCTGTCATGGGTCC